CCATTACTTAATCATATACTAGGGATTAATTCAGTCGAGCGCTTTTTAAAGACATATCACGTAGTACATAGTTAGTTTATATAAATTTGCTCTTCATTGAAGGTTTTTTGATTTCAACGATGTGCCATTCCGTAAAGGAGCAGGAATGGACAAGTCTTCTTTTTTTGTTTATCTCATGCGATCTTTTTCCTGATTTTCTTCCCTTTTCGTTTCTTTAGAAGTAATTAACCATAGCGATGCGAGTTGCATTGTTTTTGCATTCTAGCACTCAATTGTGAAGTAGGAAGTTCTTCAGAAAGACATTCCCAGCCACTAGATAACTGATCCCTTTGATTGTCAAATTTTCCGCTCTATTATTACCATTTCCATCCTTGTGACATTTTTGATTGCTGACACCATTAATGTTGTTATAATTGATCATATTGGCACTGTCACCATTTATTTCTGTAATAGCCTCATAATGGATGTCTCGATAAGAGATTAAGAGAGAACAAAAATTTTCATCTACCCATTTGTTATCTATTCATTTCAGTTGAACGGGTGATGTATCGTTCATCAAACTTTTTTTTACAGAACAGCTTCTCAGTCTGATGAACCAAATAAATGCTTCAGTAAAAAATGGAATGTTCAATGCTCAGCTTGCTAATCAAATCTTTGTTCTCTGTCAACAACTAAAGTTTTCCGGGCAGCTTCTTGAGCAGTCTCACAAAAGTTAATCTTATTTTTTTGTAACGATTATATTTGTTTTTATTCAGTAACCTGTAGTGAACTCTATGTTCTAGATATGAAAATTTGTGAAAACAACTTGCAATACTTGTTAAAATTTTCAGTTTCGTGCGTACTTTCACGTGTATCTGATAATCAGAGCCTATAAATGAAAGTTTAAATTATTTATTTAATTATTAATTAGTTAGTTAATTGATCTTGTAATTAAACAGTTGATTGTTTATTATTAATTTGTTTGTAGATGAGTTGAACCGAATATTTGTATCTTTACGACAAGCATGTTGTCGTGATAATGGTCAACTAGGAACACCATGTCGACTGAAAATGATGGAATTAGTAGAATTACGAGCGATGGGTTGGAGGCCAAGTTTGGCTCATACGCAGTATTATTTAAATCGTCCAGAACAACAACAGCAACAACTAATTGGTGAGTGAAAAGAGTATGAATTAATTTGCATATATTTAATTTATATATAAATTGAAAAATGTTTGTAAATTATATTTATATAAGAAAATATGAAAGCTAATCTTCTTTTTCGCTTTATTGATTCTGGCGTTAAATCGCATTCCTGCACTCTGGTTGTACTTCTCCTGCTCGTAGATTGGTTGTGCTGATCTAAAATGAACGAACTTCCATAAACGATTATCGAATGAGATACCTCGAACGTCTTCTTGAGATTATTGATTGAATTTATGTCTCGACGTGATCAAATATACTGATCTTCTTCGCTTAGCATTTATGGAAGTTCGTTCAATCCGATGCCAAGTCATCAGATACGAAATTAATTTGGTCTTGCATTTCATCTCGGATTTAAGTTTATCAGCCAGCAGGTCATATTTGCGTTTTCTTTCGTTCTATGATTGATGAGTTTTCTTTTCTATTTTGCTATACATGAGCGCCTACTAATACGTTTTCGACAGTAGCATTTTCTGCGAGTTTGTACCTAGTCTATAGATAGGGCACAATTATTGTAAGTATGTGTTATGAGTTTTCTCCTGCTTTAAAATCGCTGCTCTCTTGGTAGATATGGGGTGGTATTTACAAGAACATTATGTAATTGAAGAAGCATAGCCTCTCTCCTCTGCTCAACATTATATGAAGTCCACGTCCTAGCTCATCCCTTGGCAGTACAGTCTTTCCAAGCATGCAGGTTGCTTGTGAATTCCGTGTTTGTATAGTAACTGTCGGATATCATGATCAGTTACTTGAAAGTCCTCTGGTTCCAGTTTTAGCACACCAGTATAATAGTTTATTAATCCTATGACGTGCTCGTTTACTGTCTGATAAACTCTTACCGTTTAGTGCAGTTCTGGCTAGTCGTTCAATTCTTACTAAAAGCTCTGCTCGAACTTTATCGTAGCGTTCACAGGTACGTGCACGGTTCGATATGTTTATTTCGTTATCGGTGTGGCCCGCCACCTTTGGGTACTTCATAAGTTGACGGTTCAATTGGATCATGTACAAAATGAATAGCAGCGAAGAAAGGCTGTCACCTTGGTGGATTTCTCGCTATATTTGATTCTTCATCATTTTTCAATGTAACCGACCGTCTGTGGAGATACTTCTCAGAAACTTTCAGTTGTACGCCAGTATGTTAAGGTTTTCATTGCACTTGGTCTGATGCTCGTGATTAACTAAATGCGGCGCTTTTTTAATGCCCTGCTACGTATTGTATAGATTATTTCCATGCTCTCTGCATACCGTCAGGCAGAAATATCCAATTGTTTGTCTGCAAGTCGTCCCTTTGTAACAACATTCAGTTGCATGACACAGCCACACATTTCGTTGTCAACTTGTAAAGGTTCAACATACAAGTTAATAACCTGAAATCCCTGCATTTACTTGTTAAGGTTTTTGGAATCTGTTGTAGGGTTCCTGTGTATATCCATGGGTTCTGTTCCTTCCCATCCAGGCAGATCTGTTTCATTATTTTGTGTAAATCTGGATGCAGGGAGCGTTTCTTAATAAAGAATTTATAAACTCCGTTAGGACTTACCCCTTTTCAATTGGCCTATCTTCCCAAACTGGGCTTCAGAGGAAAAAGTATCATGCACTTCATGATCTGGAAGGAATCAACTAAAAGAAACATGGAGCTCACCGTTTACAGCGAAGTTCAGTCCTTATTAAGCTATAAGATAATGCATTTGAGTTCAGATGCTAGATAAAATGTGGTGATCGGTATCAAATGGAGTTCAGATGCTGGATAAGATGTGGTAATATCAAATGCCATAAACTCCCATTCCCAAGTTCCACATCATACCTCTTAAATCCCTAATTTCTTCTGTCTCTACATTGTAGTTAATAGACTGTTTTTCGGTTAGTTTCCTATCAAACCGCCTTCTGAACAGCTCAGATTAGCGATATGGATTTTTAATGTACATCGAGCTCGTAACTTTTACTTTCATAATTTTTCACACGCGCATTCAGCATGCCTTGGAGTCTTCACAGTTACGTATAAGGGCACGTATAAGACTCATGCACTTGCCTTAGATCTTTACTTCCGAACTTTTAGCCGACCAAATTTTGTTCTATGAGGGTTTTGGGAAAATTCAAGCTACCTTTTTCTGTACCTGTTTTCTACCCCGATGGTTTCTCTGCCGCTATGTATATATAAATATTCTATATAATCCTCATAAAATTTATTCACTACTTGCAGATCCAGCACCAGTTAGCGCACCACCGTTTGGCACTATTCCCATAAATCCGTTCGGAAATTTCGGCGGTCCTCCTCCACCGCTTTATGTTGGAGGTGATGTGGGCAGTCCAATGATTGCTCCTCAACCAGCACCAGCGAGCTTTTATTTAATACCGGCCGCCGCTGCTAGTTTGTCTTGTCATTTTTAATAAAGTGTTCAGAAAACTATTATTTCTTTCGTTCTTTTGTACAAAAATCACCGTACTATTTCATAGCTGCTTTTCAGAATTAGGCGACTAAAATTTTCTAGCCTAAAAACTGTATACAGATGGATTAAATACGTAATTGAGCTGAAGTTATTAGCAAACTTGATATAAATTTAAAAGGTTAATGTTTTTCAAGGTTGAATTGGATTCCCGGTTTGAGAACTATTTTACAATTAGCATTCAAATTATAAAGTTTGATCACGAAAATTATTTAGATAATTGTCATTGTAACTGTTACTATTTGTAAGTTGCTTTCAAGTTTTCATTCTTCGTTTTGCAAAAACATTGTCTAATAATTTTCGTGAATCACTCAACAAATTCGAAATTTTTACTAGGTGGATGGGCTCGGCCGATGATTGCTCCTGGAGTGGTGCCTTCGGGAAATATTTTGCCACAGTTAGCACCAATTGATGTGGAAGCTTGGGCAAAAGTCAACAAGCAACTCCAGCAAACGAAATTAAAAGTTAAAACACCACAGAGTCGTGTTCCTCAGTTGCGTGAAGAAATGGTTATACGTAATAGTGATTCTGGCAAAAGTAAGCTTGTCTTAATAATATTTTTTTTTCAAAAGTCAGAATTGTTTAGTGAATGTAAAAATGCTTTTCTGAAACTTTGGTAATATTTTTATCATTCTATTAATGTCATTATTGAATATTCTGTGTGTGTTATTTTATTGTTACCAGAGCAAACATTTTAGAAAAATGATGACAAACACGTTTCCAAAAATCACTAACAGTATATTGTCGTTATATTAATTGTTACAAATTTGATTCCTTATGTTGCTTAGATATACTTTTTCTGTTCTCAAAGGAAAAATTTTTTATATTTTGAATCGGTAATTTGGTGTAAAGCGTCTTTAATTGCTATAAGTTTTTGCAAATTTAAGTAGTACATGGTGTTTACAAACGTGATTAAGATTTGAAGTTTTTGAGTGCAGCAGTTATTGGTTTTTGAAATTGTAGTAATGGGTGTGAAAGGTCGACGTGTTGCCGTAGTCGAAGAGCTCAGCAAAACGGTAATATCATTTCAAAAGGTTGATTCGAAATGCAAAGATCGTACATTAACAATAACTGGAAGTAATCAAGAATCAATTGATTATGCGAAACGGCTTATCGAACAAACAATACGCCGCAATATCTCACCAAATCGAGTATTATTTAATCCTATATTTTTTTCCAAGTCAGAATGAGAAGCAACAATCAAGAAATATAGATTTCATGCTTTTTTTACTTGCCTCATGTTAAATATACCCTCATCTTCTTAAGGATTTTCTAATTGACGAATCATCAGTATTTTTGATGAAATACGATTGAGGTAACAAGATGCCATCTATATTTTTCAATCATTACTCAATACCTTTCAAGTTTTTGAAATAAGTACTTTTTTGAAGTGTTTCGACGAGCCTGCTTTGAAATTTAAAAAAACGAGAACAAACTTTGACTTTTTTCTAAATGATAGTCTGTTCGTTTTTTGTCTTTTTTATAATAATAATAAACATATCATTTATCCATGTTTTTTTGGACCGTAGAAGAATAAATTATTAAACTTTTTAATTTCCAATTTATTTAATAAACTATGCTTTCATAGGCTATGACGACTAGTACTGAGGCTGATGAAAACGATGATGAAGATGATGTTGGAATATCAATTGAAACTGCTCAAGATGGCACGTTGAAGTTATCGTGCGCTGATCCACAAGTGCTTCAGGTTTAGATTTTGGATGACCTTAATATTAGGTTACTTCATTAGGAGTAAACAAATTCTACTTCATTTCATAATCTTGGAGAGTAATGAAATAAGTTAAATAAGATTTCACATTCTCGAAAAGATTTCAGTGAAAAGTTTACTATTTCAAAAAATGAAAAAATGCACCTACTTAATGATATCTTTCTAGGCAGCACAAGCAGCTCTAAGTGAATATCTCACGAGAGTTGGCCGTAATCATTCTCGGATGACTGCTGAAGAACGTGAACAACGTAAAGAACGACGAAAATCGATGCCATTACAATCTTCATCAAATCGTTCTCATGCTGCCAAGTTTGTAGTGTCATAATTGTTATTTATAATATTTTATATACTGCAGTTCAAATTTAGAAAGCACATTATTAGATTCATGTTAACTGAAAGTTATTCTCAAATTCATAACAATTATTTTGAAAATTTGCACCATTTTTCATTATACAGGAAGAGAAAAGAAAATATTGAGA